CATAATCAATCTGATTTCGGTATTGCCCATCTGGTGATGTCCTTGTGTAGAGTCGCCTCTTGTTGGAAAAGAGTGTTTGTGATGACCAGCTTGTTCTCTTGACAAAACTCTATTAGCCTTTGCCCTGCTTCGATTTGAACTTCAAGGCCAAATGTACCTGTTGACCACATCCAGCTTCCCAAGGTTCATAGATCTTACATTCCAGGTTCCTATGCAGTATTTTTCTTTGCAGCATCGGACTATCCTTTCACTTCCAGGCACATCCACAGCTGAGCATCCTTTCGGCTTTGGCCCAACCACTTCATTAGCTCTGGAGCTACCTGTACTTGCCCTCCGCTCTTCTTCAGTAGCATGTTGTACACCTTTAGACCTGAGGGCCTCATCTTCCAGCGTCATATCTTTTCGCCTTTTGTTTCTGTCCATGGGGTTTTCTTGGCAAAGATACTGGAGTGGCTTGCTAGTTACTGCTACAGGTGGATCGTGTTTAGTCAGAACTCTGCACAGCATAGTTTGTAGCTTCTCTGAATTACTTAAGCCCCTTCGCCACGACAAGGCAGCAATCCATGAAGGTTCAATGAAATAGATACTGCATTTTTCTGTTGTGGGTTTGCAACTCCATCTTCAAAAGCAAAAGGCCACTGAACCTCAGTTTTGAGGGGAAATCAAGGAGGAGGATATGTCTACCAACAGTTGTTTGTCATGACAGCTGTATGGCCCCTCTCTCTTTTGAAGCACCATGCAGCTGAACAAGTAGTGGCCAAAGAGCATGTGGACAGAAAGCTTATTTCTCTCAGTCTCTCCTCAGAGCTTTCCCACCAGCAGCTGTTTGGCCATTGAGGAAAGCAAGAGGCTAGACTTCATGGGCCTTCGATCTGCCCCAGTGAGGTATTTCCTATATTCTCAACTTACTCTGTGGGAATTTTGGTGGGTTGTCGTTGACATCAGTAAGTGTAATTGTCACTTTGGTTGTCCCTGAGAGTCCTCCCATGTGTCCTCCCATGTCCTTTGCTTGTATGACAACGTGATATTCCTCCTTCGCTTCTCTGTCCATGTTGGGAAGGGCAGTTCTAATAATACCTTTGGGTACAAAATGGAGAGGAAAAAGCTCAGAAACCATTTTTCAAACACTCAGAACCTGACTTAATATCGATCTACCTTTATCAGGATTAGCCCAGATTTTTCATGATAGCTATTTAGCAGACTACTGCAGTTCCAGAAATCAGTGGGACCTAGGCTACTCACTACTAACTGAAATGTAATCAATTTTGATGGATCTTCTGTACATTGAACTACTGATTATAAAACCAGAACAGCCAAATAAAGGAGATTTGGTCAAGACTGTCCTGTTGTTGGTCTGGAGTAGGGCCGCACAACTTGAGGGCCAGCAAACTCAGTCCACCCAGGCATGAGGACCTTGATCATCCTTCTCTCATCACAGTTTTGTCTGTAACTACACTAGGAAGACTGTCTGCATTTAAATTAAGGACTTTACAACTTCTGATGTGATCTGAATTGATCCACAACTAGAGAACAAATGGGCATATTAGCACAGAAATCTACCATCCTTCACATTTTCTTGGTGTTCTACTGCTGTTCCAAATCCAGAAAGCATATTAAAATACTTTGAGAGAAAATATATTAACAAATCACTGCACATTTTCATATGGATTTTTTTTGGGGGGGGGACAGGGGATACAGTAGAATACAGAATTGGAATAGAATGAACTCAAGAATGAATGGCTGCATAAGTGCTACAGACTGGAAGAAGAATGAAGAACACATGGTCCTCCAGATGTTGTAGGACAGGAACTCCCAACAGCTCTAGCCAGCTGTGTCAGTGGTGACATGATGAGAGCTGCAGTTCAAAAGTGTGTGAAAGTCCACATGCATGGATGAACCACCACCTCACAGCAACACACTTTGACCTCTAATTCCCTGTCTTTGCAGACCAAAATGCATGGCTGACATTTGGCTTCATTTGCAATGTCCAGAGCCAACTCCATGGATGAACCACCACGACCACAACACACGTTGACTTCTAATTCCCTGTCTTCACAGACCAAAATGCATGGCTGACATCTGGCTTCATTTGCAATGTCCAGAGCCAACTGTAAATATAACATTTCACCTTTGATCTAAAATTGGAGAGAATAGTGCTGACAGCAAACCCTCTGAAAGGAGAATGCTGAGGGTTTAAGGGGATGATGAGTTTGTAGCACTTCTATAGCCATTCAATGTCTTCTGGGAAGAGACCCTCCACCCCAAACTGGGCGTCTCCTTTTCCTTCTGGGGTCTCTGAATGTGTCATAGATATTAAAGGAATAAAAAAAAATACAACAGAAGTATGCCTCCACCTTCTTCTTCTTCTTCTTAATTTAGAAGCTGGGAATGGCTTTCTGTTCATGAGATTTGTAAAGCAATCTCACCCAGGTCATTCAAATGTGGGCTGGCAATCCTGGAGCTAAATCCAATTTTCATCAACACTAGAATTCCTTCTGGGGTCCCTGAATGTGTCATAGATATTAAAGGAAGAAAAAAAAAAAACAACAGAAGCATGCCTCCACTTTCTCTTCTTAATTTAGAAGCTGGGAATGGCTTTCTGTTCATGAGATTTGTAAAGCAATCTCACCCAGGTCATTCAAATGTGGGCTGGCAATCCTGGAGCTAAATCCAATTTTCATCAACACTAGAATAGACTTCTCAAAAACAATACAACAGATGACAAAAGTAAGGAGGGAAGCAGGGGGTGGGGTGGATATTTTGTAGCATAAGTGGCATCTAAGTTTCTGACAGGGTCACAAAACAAACACAATATGGAGGTGGAGTCAAGAAAAACTCCCCGCCACAAACTTAGATGCCACTTGTGCTGCTGCATCCACATTGGCAGAATTGTCAAGGGTCCCAGCAATGTCAACCATGGTATCATGGATTTATTTACCTGTTCATCCTATAATTTGTTATCTGGCACTTCTGCCAACAGTGTCCTTCTGCTTGCTGGACACAACTCTGATATTCTCACCTAGACGTGAATCTCAATGCCACTGAATAAAAATGGGGATTTGTTATCTGGCATTTCTGCCAACATGTCCTGCTTGCTGGACACAACTCTGATATTCTCACCTAGACATGAATCTCAATGCCACTGAATAAAAATGGGGAGCATATATTTGCACTCCTGGTGTCAATGGGCACATGGATCTTGACCTATGATAGTTCATAGTGAAATAAACTTATTAGTCTTTTGTCACCTCCTTTTTCCGTTTTAAATTCTCAAGCGTACTAAGACTAACTAACATGGTTACTTCTTTGGAAAAAGCAAATCCAGGGGGTTGTCACTGATACCTTGAACTTTGAAAACAGCTAACAAGTCCAGTTCATTCAGGGGCCTATTCTCGTTGGAAATAATTACATTTAGCCCCTGTGGTTCTCTAGAAATTATTGGATGCTGGGCAGCATGATCAGTAATCAGTAGAAATGGGCACAAATCAGAAAAATGTGATTCATTTCGGTTCATGATTGGTGAAATAGTTGTTTTTGACTTTAAAACGCTAAAAATGGCCTCCAGGCACCTAGAGGCACCGCATTTACATGAAAACTCCCCCTGGTTCTCCTCTATAGGCCTTCCACATTTGTTGAAGATTGGATCTCAGACATCTGAGTTATACACCCACAAAGTGGGTAGTGGGTCCTCCCCCAGGAAAGTGCCTTTTAGTAGCTGACCTGGGGAAAACCAATCCTCACCAAACTTGAAGAGATTGTAGAGAAGAGTCAGGGAAGGCTTCTGTGCAGTTTTGGTGTCTCTAGATGCATGGGGGGGCAGGCATTTTATAGCCAAACACATCAACAAATAAAAAGTCACTAAAAATCCAGTGATTTGTATTTGCTGGGCCATTGATTTGTACAAATACAAATTGATGATTCTTTTTTAAAAAATAATGCCCATCTCTAGTGATCAGCAGTGATAGGAGTGGCAGCTGAGCATCGAGACAGACACCCACCCTGTCCTAGCAAGTGTGGAAGTTCCATTCATTCTCTTGCAGTTAGAATCATTGTTTTGCAATACCTGTTTGTGCTTCCACAGAGAAGTACGGCTGACCTTCAAGGATACTGTAAACTAGTTTGGCACTATTTCCATAGGTAGGATCATCAGCATCTGAAGCGGTCACCTGAATTACAGAAGTACCTAAAAATATAAATTGGGGAGGACACATTTCAGAATTAAATGCACATGTACAATCCACCTATCCCCATGTTTCACTAGACAGTAAGTTTCCACAATTCGTTAATTTAAACAAAAGCAATAAGGGAGATTATTTAGTAATTAGGCGCTGGAAAACTCAAGTCCCACATCTCAGTGAGAGCTTCTACTACTAAATCACCAATGGTTACCCACCAGCTGTGTCAGGGATTATGGGAATCTCTGGCCAATTAATTTCTCAAAGTACACAGTTGAGTAAGTTCCATTTCACTAAATATATTCCCCCTCTTTCCCTTTGGCAATTGTTTGGGGTAATCATTAACATGTCTTCTCACAACACTTTTCCTTCCCAGTATTTTAGATATTATATGCATAATAATTATCTACATAAGTGGAAAATTACTTTGGCTGAATTTGTAGAAGGGAAAAACACAGTTGAAGATCAACCAGTTTTAAATATTTCATCATCCTCTGGAGAAACAAAGAAACACAATAAAGGATAAGGTTGATATGGGGGGAGTCAAGACAAGCCAGTGTAGATGCCACCTCCTCCAGCTGTACTCCATAGGCAAGATTAGTGGTCAAGGCAGGCATATCCCCAAGAGAGTTATGCTTGAATGATCTCAATTCCTTGTGACTGGAGATAGGTAAATGCTATATTGTGGCTGAGAGGAAAACTTTCAGTCAAGCCCTCCGGTTTCAAGGAACTCCTAGTGCCAACAGAAACCCCTCAATTCATTTATTTAATTACTACATTGTTTAAATTTCCAAATGCCCAGAATGCCATGTTCATAACCATGTTGTAAAATACCTGGCACTCTTTAAGAAGTTTCCACTTTGCTCCAGAAAGAACATTATTTTTTCCTGGATGGGGAATCTCTTGTGGCCCCACTACCCACCCCTTGGGGTACCTCACTTGGCAAGGGCATGTGAGGGAGGGCCTCAGATGAGCGCTTTTGGTTGCAACGTATGGGAGGAGTGATGCCTTCAAGTAACCAAAATGTTACGATTAAGATGCATACTTTCTCCTTCTAATTTTAATCTTTGGAAGAAAGTAGTAATGTAATAGACATCGATAGCAATCCTTCTGCATGTATGTATATAAAAATTATATAGAAACTAAATAACGGTATTTCTAGACAAGAACTGATTGCTAGTGAGAAAAGGCAGTCAGATTCCCCCCCCCCCCCCCNGGGAAGATGAGGATTATATATTTGTTTCGTGTTATTTTTAATCTATAATAAAGTTAACCCTCTCCATAATTCCCTCTACAGCCCGGAATTACCCATGCCATTTTAACTCTTTTTGAGCAGGGAGTCATATCATCTGAGAGACATCACCTAAAATATAAATTGATGTAATGAAGCCCAAGGACACATTGAGACATGCCATTAAAATACATATTTTGCAGGATTTTTCATGAGAACGCAAAGAACAGCTGTTGTTTTTTTTTGCCACCAGTAGCCACCATCAAAATGGAAAAAATGTGTTTTTAATGTGCAGGTGTTTCCCTCTATTTATAACTGCAAGGTTTTCAGTGTAAATGACAAGAATTTCAATATAATGTACTGTACAAAGTTTAAGTCCAAAATGCCTATTTTGTTTGCGGGGGAGGGGGGAGAGCCTACTTTGATTAATTTATCGCTAAAATGTGCAAAACACAAAATAAAATGAAATTTCAAAGGCACAAAACTCTCATAATCTTGACTAACAGGGAGAAAAATTCTGAAATTCTTCATTGTCATCTGGAAGAGGGAAATAAGCGAAGATTCATATCTATAGTCAAGACACAGATTTATCACCACACACACTTCTTGTGATGAATGTTAGTTATCATAAACATAAGCCCAGTGCAGGAATAGCAGCGGTGAGACACCTCAGAGTCATATTCACCTCATTCTCCAGAGGCTTCAGACATCTGCAGGCCACACTTACCTCCCCCCCAAAAAAAACCCTCTCAAAGTGAAAAAAAAATATGATTTGTGAAATACAGTGGTACCTTGACTTAAGAACGTCTCCACTTGCAAACGATTTGAGTTACAAACGGCTCTGTTCACAAAAAGTCACTTCGACTTATGAACAGAGCATCGACTTACAAAAAAACAAATCTTTCCTGCCCTTTTTTTGACCTAAGTTCATCTTAGGTCAAAAGAAGAAAACATAATAAAAAAAATTCTCCTCCTAGTGGTAGAGTACAGATTAACCTCTACCCACGAACAGCACCTCGACATACAAACGAAAAACAGCAGGTACGAATTAAATGGTTTCCAATGCATTCCTATGGAAAAGTTTGCCTCGACTTACGAACTTTTCAACGTACGAACCCTGTTCCAATATGGATTAAGTCTGTAAGTAAAGGTACCACTGTAGCATAAAAATAGGCAATTCATAGCTGATTTTGTTGTTGTTGTTGTTGTTGTTGTTAATGGAGGGAGTTGGGAAAAAGACCTGTGACTAAACTGGGGGACTTCATGTAGTTAAGACCCTTAGGGAAACAACAAACTGGGTGAGTGTTTCAGCTTGCCACCACAATATCTGCATCAAATCCTTTTGTTACATACCTACGTTGGACCTTTCTGGTACATTGGCATGGTAGTTTTCATGCAGAAATTCAGGGGGGTTGTCATTGATATCTTGAACTTTGACAATGAATTCTGAAGGTGGCTCCAGGGGTCGGTTGGTATTCCTGTCCACCGCTTGAGCCGTTAATGTGTACTGAGCTCTTTCTTCCCGGTCCAGTGTCTTTGTTGCGTGGATGTTCCCTGATTTGTCATCGATAACAAAAATGATTCCCGCTCCTTCACCTGAGAGAATGTATTTGATGTTCCCATCTCCAGAATCGATATCTGAATGAAGCTGTAAAATCCAAAGTACATATGCCCATTGGTATTTCAAAGCAAACAAATCAATTTGACATATTTTTATTTATTTGATCATGTATTTATTTACAGATACACAGACAAAACTAAACAGAAAGGAAATAAAAGCATATGAAGGACAAATAAAGTGAAGGACAAAGAAGCAGTGAAGAGAGAGAGGGGGAGGGATTTCCAATGGCTTTTTATTCCACCCACCACGGACAAAAGACAGGAAGAAAATTGAGTTTTACTCTGAATTTTTTGGTACATAAAACTGATTCCAAATGACTTCTGGACATATTTTTAATGAATAAGGTTATAATAGTCTAAAATTATAATTTATAATAGTCTAAAAAGAAAATAGATCATGGAACTGTGAAGCACCAGCAAAGAAACCACCCATCGGCTTCCACCTAATTTCCAGTTTCTCAGCTACTTAATGCCCATTGTGATATTTTAATGAATGGCAGTAAAGCAATTAATGGACTAAATGAAATCATGGACTAAAGGAAACCTGCTCTCTTAACTTCCATAATGCTATAGGAATTGGTTCCATGACTTCCTGTGTATCTATAATGTAGGAATTTGGGACAATCTTAGCTTTGCCCACATTTGACTCCTGATGAGCTCTTTCAGTGTTCAGAGATTAGCTCTCAGTATCTCTGATCTAATACAGCTGATGTAAATAGAGCATTTCAGGACATTTTTTGGTGTTCCTTGGAAAACCCCATTGCATTCTGGGTAAAGCAAAGTGAACCTGCTTTTTAGAGTACATGGTTGATATTCAACCCTTTTTTTTTTTCCTTTTTAAAAATGGGTTGAATTCTTTTTTTAAAAAAAAAAGTCTGAATGACACTTTTTTAAAATAATGAATTCAATCCATTCATATAAAAAAACCCCAATTTTTTTTAAAAAAGTATTCAATGATTTTCAAAACTTGGGCAGCAGAGAAACAATTTGAGATTTGCTCTTTTTTAAAATCAAAATCTATTGCAAATGCAAGTGAAACAGAGCCCCTCAAAATACTGATTCTGAATCTTTGCTCATTCAGCCATGATAAAAGTTGCCAGATCTTTTTCTTTTCTCCTCAGAGTGTCCTCATCGTTAACATCTGCCTGACAGGGACACAACATGATGAGTAGGGAATGTGCAATTTGGATTGATTGGACTACAAATCCCATAATTCTCCTTTCTGGGAATCCTACCTGCAAGTTCCGGGCCTTATAGACACCTAAGTTGGGATCACCTGGAGAGAAGGCCCAGTTGGCAGACTCCATGCTCTGGACAGGCCTAACATCCTGTTTGAAAAAGATGTTTCACCAACAACAGTTGTTGTGAAGCTTTCGACTGATCTCTCTGTCCCTGCTTTCGAAGCCTGTGCCTAGTGTTTTTTTGTTTCTTTTCTCATCAAGAAATCATCTCATCATGAGTATGTCCCTCTTGTACAGATCACCTATAGTGTCTTTTATAGAAGAAAGTCTGTACAGTGGTGCCCCACATAGCGATGATAATTCGTTCCGGATAAATCGTCACTATCCAGAATTGTCGCTATCTGGGGCAAAAAAACCCATACGGGGCAAAAAAAAACACCCTGTTTAATGCATTCCTATGGGGGATAAACTCATCGCTAAGCGGAAATCCTCCATACGGTCGCCATTTTTGCCACCTCGGTAAACAAGGAAACTGCGTGAAAACACTGCAGGCAGCCATTTTTTTCTTCCGGTGGCCATTTTGGAACCGCCGATCAGCTGTTTTCTAAACATCGCAATGTGAAACGCTTACTGATCATTGCAATGCGATCACTTTTGCGATTGTAAAATCCGCATCGCTATGTGGATTCGTTGTTAAACAGGGCGCTCGTTATGCAAGGCACCACTGTATGCATATTTAGAATTTTTTTTTGAAAAGGTTCCTTTTTAAAGCTATGTCTTCCAGAGTTCTCCAGAGCTACAGTTCAACACAGTAACTAATTCAAACTTTGATTCAGAATGCCACACAAGATTTTGGGAGCAAAATGTTGGCATAAACCATTTCAGATAACTTAATAGGATTTTTCTATTCTTCTTGCCCTCCAGGTTTCTTCTGGACTTTGAGATATAGCAGGACCCCCATATCTGCCAGGGAACAGTACCAAGCCCACCCCACAATGGATGCTGAAAAATGTGGAATATAGCAAACACAATTATAATAAAAAATGCTATAAATAGCATGGTATCTGGCTCCCTCTAGTGGCCAGTTCTGAAAATCTGATCATTACGAATATATATTTGTAATTTTTCTTTTAATATTTTTAATATTATCAGACTGTGGATAACTGAATCAGTGGATACTGTTCTCACAGATAAGGGAGTCCTACTGTATAGTCAGTCCTCATTACGTTATGTTTTCCCCCAATTGTAACTCTGGTTTGAGAAACCAGAACATCTTATTCAAGCCTTTTCATATCTGTGTTTGAGGTCCTTTGGGCTATGATAACACACAATATTGTACACACTCAAGATATCTATATTAGCACATCATGTTACATTTTCCCAGTTCAAACCTATCGCCACTCAGTAGCATGGATGAATAAATGCATATGTTTAATTTCTTATAACATTCACATTTTTTTTCAAACACAAGTTAATGCCATCCTGTTTCGGCACGGGTTTGTACTTCAAAAACAAACAAAACCGGCAAAAAGCAAAACATTTGTCAATGTCTTTTACTCTGAGACACGCATTTCTCACAAGCTCTTTATTAGTGAAATGAAGGCTTTGTTTATCTGCGAACCGAAGTGTAGATTTCATGATGCGAACATAAAGACTCAGCACACAATAAACAGCAGCTAAAATGCCTTAGAAAGGAAAATTGCCTGTACTTTGCACTGTAAAGACAACAGTGTGGGTGCCAAGAAAAAACATTCCGTAAGTGGGTGCTGCAACTAGAGAGGTCCTTTGTCTTGTTTGGTATTACTTCTAGCTTCTGCAACAGCTTTAATTTTTTTTTGCAGTCATGCCCCCTATCATCAGAGGGACGTGGTGGCGCTGTGGGTTAAACCGCAGAAGCCTCTGTGCTGCAAGGTAAGAACCCCAGCATTCATAAGATCGAATCCACGCAACAGAGCGAGCTCCCATCGCTTGTCCCAGCTCCTGCCAACCTAGCAGTTTGAAAGCATGTAAATGTGAGTAGATAAATAGGTACCACCATGGTGGGAAGGTCATGGCATTCCATGTCTAGTTGTGCTGGCCACGTGACCACGGAAACTGTCTTCCGACAACAACTGGCTCTATGGGGTGAAGACAAGGATGAGCACCGTGCCCTAGAGTCGGACACGACTAGACTAAATGTCAAGGGGGACCTTTACTTTCACCTTACTCCTACCATCACTTCTGATTTCAATCCACCGCCAACATTGCACATCCAGAGGTGAAAACCCTTCTCTTATACCTGGTCTGTACCCTGACATTTCTTCACCATGTATGCCTCGATTTTGCTTATCTATGCTTGGATAGATTTTTCACTGGCATGTTGGGCAAGAGCCCTTCACAATATCTACTTATTCTCTATCAACTGTTGGATAGCTGTGACTGTTGGGCAATTTTTAACGGTCACGATTAAGATCATAACCATAGTATTGCCTTCTGACATGCCACATTCCTTCAATACCAGTGTATAAAAGTCTGCTTCTTTCTGGAACTTTACTTCATGCATCTAACGACAGTGCTGCAGTCCTCAGAAGGTTATGCTGAGTAAAACTGTTGGAGTTTTATTTGCAATCTCACATGCTGCCTGCAGTTTGTTTGACTGGCAGGGACTTTTTTTCCCCTTGGCCTTGGATGATTGGCCAGCACTAACCAATCATTCCTTCCAGCCTTTGAATTCAAGGAGAGCCCCGCCTCTCTGCTGAGTTTTTCTGTCCCTCTCTTTCCCTGGTTGATGGCACTGTTGTTTGCTGCTGATACACTCAGCGGGTTGCCAAGTAAGGAAAGAAGCATGCAGAAATTTGTAATTTTAAGAAATGTTTTTTAAAAATTCTTTTTCGTACAAATGTGAGTTGTTGAAACTTTAACAGCCAGTTAATGAGAAAGGGGTGGACTACCCAAATCCCCCCATAGCCATCCTTCAGTCTTGAGAGATTCATGCTCTGAATCGAGGAGTGTCCTCTCCGGAGCATGAAGCCTGGGTAAAGTAAAGTAATATGGAGGATAGGCTGTTACCCAAGCAGCAGATCCCCCCTCTCCACATTGCTGAAATGGTCCAATGGAAAGGCAGGAGCCAATACAACTGGTTCCAGCAACGTCACAAGAGTTGCCCGAACAACATGAACTGCCTTCGGGACTCCGTCTCCAGATTTTGCCTCGAGGTTAACTCCTGAAGCCTTTTCCATGAGTGGATATAGCCACAAGGCAGTGGAGGTTTGAAATCGGAGTTTTCCTTCTCCTAGATGGGCTGCCTTCCATTGCTGATGAGCCCCACCTACCCAACCTATCCAAATAGGCTGTAGCTATTCTCCTTTGTGGGTCTCTGTCCTTCTACTGCATAGCAAAAAGGAGAATTTTACCAGAAATTCAAAACTCTACAACAAGAACAACTTTAAAATATCACAAGACCTGGATATTTTATGCTGTATAGCCAGCCTCTTGAAAACTATCATGTAGCTATCCAATTCACTTCATTTATAAAGCTTCCACAGATATCTGAAGCTCCAAGCAGGTACATGAAGAAGGAGATACTCCTTTAGATGCTCAGGTCCCAAATGTTCTTGTGTGGTGTTTTCCATATTATACACATTTTAAACTTTAAAAAATATGAGGTAGGCACTGAGAAATCCAAAGAACTATAAAAATTGAAATAATTTATTTGAAATCAGTTTTCTCGAATTCCCTGATCTTCACAATCTGAATGAAGGTTCTTTGATTCCCCCCCCCCTTCTGTGCTTCCTTTTGGAACATGTAAAAGTTACAGCATAAGATCATCACAGCGACTTAGATTTGTTCTGAATTTTCTGACTCAGTT